TGACACGGCCTGTGGGCCCCAGCTGTCACTGAAGGGTCACCGGCCACATGCTCCCTCACTGCTGGAAAGGACCCTCCATCTGAAAAAGTGTCTCCACTGCACTGTGTGTGCGAGACAGAGAGCAGAACCACGGTTCTGAGAGGCCCTCTGAATTATGAATGAGCAGGCAGACATCGGAGTTCCCATTCACAGACAGGGGAGCTAAGGGCAAAGATAAGCTTGCTTATTCACAGGGCTGGGCTCCATCGGCAGGCTGACCCCAGACGGGACCCGAGGCTGCCAGAACTGTTTAGCGTCCTGATAAACAGGAAGCTCTTAGCTCCGGAGCACAGTAGCATGTGCAACTGTCTTCCCCCGGGACTGATTCAGTCCTGCAAACTGGGTCACGTGGGAAATGGAAATGGCTCCTTCGATGAGGACTTTGCTCCCTCTGGAAGCACACGCCTTCCCCCTCTCCCTTCCTGCAATGGCCACTCCAATGTCAGGATTAAGAGCACTGGCTTTGGTGGGTCCAGTCCCATCTCTGGCTCGGTCGTTTCCAGCTGTAAGACCTTTGAGAAGTTGCGCAACCTTTCTAGGCTAGTTTCCTCGTCAGGAGGGGAGAGTAAAACCACTTTAAGAGGATTAACTAAAATAACTTCTGTGGAATGCTTGGTGTGGAACCTGCTCTCGCAAAGCATTTGGCCAATGGTTATCAATAGCATCCTCAGCATCAGGGCCTCAGGGCAAACATGGGGAAGCAAAGAGACCAAGGCGACCCTGAAGGTCAAGAGCGTTGTGATTCCACCGCTGGGTCCTAAGGGACTAGGCCTTCCACAGAGTCCGTGCACTCGGCTGGTACCTGAGATGCTGTATGGACATCCATCATCCAACTGAAATGATGCTCAGGGGGACAGGCGCTGGGGCCCATTCATCTCTGCATCCCTCACAGCACCTAATGTGGCAGCTTGCACACAGTGAGAACTCAGTAAGTTGTGAACACTGGACATTAACCTTCCAGGCACCCACTGAGGGAGACAGAACAGGTTTGGGAGAGGAGATGAGGAAGGAAAGGGAGCTGATATGACCAGCCAGGGGTCTGAGCTTGGGTGCTGAGGGGTCTGAAATCCAGCCAACACATAATGAAAACACAAGGTTAGATTCCTCTGTGATCCCCCAATCTTACTGACATTCAAGCCTATTTTTGTCACTTTATAACAATAAACATGTTCTCCAGAGTAGCTTGTGTTTTTTCCTGCTTCCATCCATATTTTGCAATTAAAAAAAAAATCTTTTTAAAAAATCTGTTCTGTGGTTGAACTTGAGGGCAAAAGTGTAATATTTCTTTCCGTGGGGAAAAGAAATCTCAGCCTGTGACTCAGGATTTAGACATTCGCCTCGAGCCCCAGCCCCAGCAGGGTGAGCAGCACATGCCGGATGCGGACTCCATGGACAGTCCAACCTAAACTGAAGAGAAACACTGGGATGTGTAAGGCTGAACCACAGGCGTTCTCTGTTTCTGTAGAGGAAATTATCAATAGTCAAATATCAATTATCATACAAATGATATCTGGCATACAGACGAGCACCCATGATAGAGTTCATGGTCATGGTGGCCCATTATAATGCAGCTTAGAGGTGCACCGCCAATGACAATAACTTCATATGGTCCCATCTAATGTTTACAAACAGGATCTTTTATTGGCTTTCTGGTGGATCTGCCAGCTCAAATCAAGTCCCCGAGGACAGGGACTTGTTCTCATCGTCCTTTAATTTTCGTCACCCTACCTGCCACTGCACACTTACTGGGGGCTCGATAGATACGCTCTGAGTGGGCAAGTACTGCCGAGTAACAGTAATTCCCATCTGCTTTAGTGGACGTGTGGGAAGCACGGTGACATGGGAGCCGCCTGGTGTGATGAGAGGGTGGGCCTGGGGGCTCCTGGACTTCGGGAGCTTAATGGAATCTGCAAGAACAGAGCATCTGTTTCTACACCAAATGTGTACCGTGAACCTGTGATGTGCCAGGCAGTGAGCCGTCGGTGCTGGGGATGGAGGGTGCACGGTTCAGAACACAGAACACAGGCTGGACGGGGCTACTACAGACCAAAAACAGCAGTGGTTCCTGGTGAAAAAACAGACGCTGAGGAAACAGCAGCACCTGACGTCTGGAGAGAAAGAGACAGGTCCCTGTCGTCAGAGAGCTTACTGTCTCAAAGGGGAAACAGATGTCACACGAGGAGTGGCTCAAATAAAACCACTGTTTTATGGGAGCTGGGTGCATGTGGCCGAGGTCTGGTGCTGGGGACCCTGACCTAGCCAGGAGGACCCATCGGGCAGGGCTGCCTCCGCACAGACCAGGAAGCGGAGATCTCAACCAGAGGTAACCATGGATTAGACATGAAAAGAAAAGAGGGTTCGGGGAAGAAGGGAGGGGTGCACAGGCAGAGCACGGAGGGTGTCCAGGGCAGTGGAGCTAGTCTGAATGATTCTGTAATAGGTGATACATGTCATTACACTTTGTCCAAACCCACAGGATGTACACCAAGATTCAGTGAACCCAGTGTGAACTACGGACTTTGGGTGACAATGATGTGTCAACTGTAGGTTCATCAGTTGTGACAAATACACCACTCCAGTGGGGGATACTGACAATGGGGGAGGCTCTGTGTGGGGGGTGGGGGAGGTATATGGGAACTCTGGGTACTCTCTGTTCCATTCTGTGAACCTAAAGCTGCTCTTACAAAATACTGTCAATGAAAAGGGAAAGAAGAGCCGGAGAACAGAGGAGGGATAGTCCAGGCAGAGGAAACAGCCTGTGCAAAGGGCCTCACATGAGTCAGAGTAACCGACTCAAGGTCACTGGCTGGACGCAGAGGCAGGGGTGGAGGCTGGGAGAGCAGTGCCAGAGGCCGGGGATAAACCCTGGTCTCTTTTCCTCTTTGCCAAACGGACATTCAAAGCAGAAAGGAGCCGTCATTGAAAGGAAAAACTGGCGTTCTCGCCAGGTACAGGAATACAGCCTCAGCCGTCGAAGGGCCTCCTGACCTTCCCCAGGATGAGTCTTCCTGCCATCGTCAGCCAGGGAGCCAAGGGGTGCAGACACTTTCTATGCAGGAAGCAGAGCTGTACGCTGGGAGGTAAAAGGAGATGCGAGCTCTCACGCACACCCTCTTGTAATTCTGAGCTGTAATTCAGTCAGTTCTCACCCCGCCTGTCAGAACGAGCAGCTGTGGGCAGGGCAGGGAAGCCCACAGCACAGCTCACGGGCAGGAGGCAAAACAAGGAAACATCGCCTCCTCGACTAAGACAGTCAAGTGATTCAAAAGTGCACATTAAACCACAGCTCCCTGCCCCATAGGAAGCCAGCGTGGGCCTTCGCCTCCTCCGATGCAAAAGCGGCATGGGCATGGAGCTGCACGCCTGTGCTTTAAGCGTCCAGTCATGCCCTTCCCATGACGGAAATTAAACAGAGTTCATATCACTGGGCATTGCTTAGGCCTGTCGCTGGGTTCTTTCCCCAGAGCCTTAATGGTGATTTCTTACCCTCCCCCAACGCCCCCCCTACCCCAAATGCACAAAATTCTCAAGACGGGAAGACAGAGGCATCCTATGTTTTCCCTGCACTGTTCATCCCTGCCAGAAGGGGATTTGGCAGCATATTTCTGAAGACAACACCTCATACAATCGATGTATGCCAGTCAAAATACCATTTTTCTTTCTGAAGCAAATTTAGACACTGTCTATTTTGTGATGCATTTGAGAGATTAAGAGCTGAACACACTCTAGCTGCGTTCCATCTCACTTTCTTGGACGGCTACAAAGCATCGGGGACCTCTGAGACAAACCCTCTGGCTCTGCCAGCAGCTGGGAAGTGGCCGCTTGCAGCCACCCTGGCCGGGGCCTCTGGGAACCCTTCTCTCCAGGGCGGCCGAGGACGCGGCACGTGACCAGCTGTGGGATCAAGAAGAGGACCTTCTTCACTTTTTTCCTTCCCCTTAGCCCTCTCGGTCCACTGTTTCGGTTTTTTATTTCAGAAAGGAAACTGGCTCTCTTGTCACCCTGACGGAGTGAGTGGAGGAAAAGAGAGCGAGCCACACTGAGCACAGGCCCTCTAGCATCAGAGCATGTAAGTGGCCAATTAAGTGCTTATCGCCTAGTGAAGGACCAGCAGCTGCTGATACAGCTTCTCCAGACTGAGTCCCAGACTCCTTCCCCGGCCCTCCCCCAACCCAACCGCAGTCCCGACCCCCGACCCCCGCCCCACTGCCGAGCCCGCCTAACGTTTCAAGAGAGCTTTGCCAATTCCATGTGCTTTGTGATGACCACCATGGAAAAATTTCAAAAGTATGCATTGGGTTAGCAAATTCAAGAGTGACTTTTATGCTTTGTTGTTGTTACTGGGTTGTTTTGACAGCAGACCATTATTTTAGGAAGAAGTCATTACCAACATTCCAATGATATATTCTGCTGAGACTGGAGCCTCTCAGAGCGTGAGTTCATTTCTGACCTAAGTCTATGCCTCCCTCCGGATTCATAGCTCACAGAGAAGCAGGAGGAAAACAAACAAGCAGAAATGCAACCAGCGATGACATGCAGTTCTCCCCTCCAGCTGGATCCCCCCACAGAGCCATATGTAAGCTTTACCAAAATCGGGCCAGAAAGCTCGATAAGCTTCCATGCATTTGGCAGGACCTTTATTATTTTTTTTTTCCCCTGAAGAGATGCTAAAAGCCAAATGTATAAACACAGAACAGCTGTCTCCTGGCACAGACAGCATCCCATTGCTACAGCCACACCCTGACAGAGAGAGAGATACACGCCAGCCGGATCCATCCCTGAGCTCCTGCCGCCCGGACGGCTGTACATTTCCCAGGGTCCACGGAGCTCATCCTCTGACATGGAAGCCACATGCTGGGGCGGCTCGAAGTCTGCCATCTCCTGCAGGCAGTGTCCACGCCCACCCTGACGCTCTCTTCCTGGACCTCCCACGCAGGGACAGGACCGGAGAGGAAAGTTACCTTGCAGACAGCCGCCTGGAGCACGGCATCGAAGCCGCCCTCGGGGGCATCGCGGTTCCGGGACACCCTCTGTTTCCGAACTTCCTCGTTGAAGCTGTCCACTCTGTCTGTGAGAGGCAGCAGGTGGCGGAACCCAAAGGAAGGGACGCAGTTTGGGAACAGCTTGTAACTAGAGAGAAAGAAGACAAGAGTCACTTTTCCATCTCTGTCCCTAGATCTTACACAACCCACTACTCTTGAATATTTACCAGCACCTACTGTGCGCTCCAGGGACTGGCACAGTGGGGAGAAGAAAAAGAAATAACATAGTTTCAACTCTCCAAACATCAAGCTATAAACTGCAGGCAAGACAGCAGATACCAGGTTGTGAGTGAGAGGAAGCAGAGGTGGTAACAGGCTGCTGGGCTCAGAGGAAGACCTCAGGGAGCGGGGCCAGTGGTTTGGGCGCTGTGGCCCAAGCAGCACATGGGGAGGCTCAGGACGGTGGGTCATGTCGAGTGAAGGCAACGTGGGCAGTTACTCTATGAAACCAGCTTTCCAATTCGGCCGCTGTCATGTGACAAAGGATCACATAACCCCTTCAGGTCAACCCGCTCAGAGACCAGAGGACATGCTGGCACGTGAGCCAGTGCTAAATGCAACAGGAACGGGGACGTTCTTTCTGCTTCTTCATTCATTCATAAATATTGCCGCGCTAAACTGTCAGCTCTCCTAGATGCAATCAATATCATTTAGAAACCAAGCATCTCCCAATGGAAAATTATATCTAGGAGTTGGGAAAGAGGGAAGTGCCGCATCTCAATAACAGGCTAATGCACAATCTTAATGAAACACTGGGCAATCTCATCTTGAGTGTGCAGTAGGGATCCCCAGCGGCCCGTTCCCCAGGAGAAAGTTTGATCCCAGTTGTAGTTTCAGCCAATGAAATAGGAAGAGAGGCCTCACATTGTTTCAGCTATGGGTTCCTGACAGGGAAGAGCATCCTGGCCAGAGAGAAGAGCACTTGCAAGAGCCCTGGGGTAGGAGGGAGCCCCGTGAGCCCAAGTCGAGCGGGAGGCCAGCAGGGCTGCAGTGCAGGGAGTGAGGGCAAGGATGGGCTAAGAGGAGGCTGGGAAGGCAGGCTGGACCAGACTGCAGATCTGTGGACATGTTAAGGAAGCTTTTATTTCAGAACAAAAGATGAAAAATAAACACTAACAGAGGCCTCTGGGAAAGCCCTGTGCTCCAATGCAAGCCCTGTGCATGGGAAGGGAAACAGGCTTAGCAATTGCTAGAGATCGTGCCTCCCTGCGGCCAAGAGGCGGCTGCCAGGGCAGGTCTGGGCAGGCTCCCCTCCTCCCGCAGAGGTGATCTTTGGCTCTCTGAGAGGCTGCTGCATTCTTCTGGGACCGACAGTGCCTGCTCCATCCACCACGCACTAGCAACTCGCTGGCTCTGGACGGTCACCCCCACCGGCACAGTGGCCACGGTTCTCTCCGGATGCCAGAGGTTTCCCCACCTGCTGTCCTGTTTGTTCACTCCCTCCTCCTACCCCCAATCTTCACCTGCACCTTGTGCTTGGACAGGTCAGATTCCTCTCACCCGAGCCTGGGGCCACCCAAACTTTTCATCCCTGTCTCATTTTGCCAGAAAGAAAAGGGTCGTAGAAATTGCATTGCCATCTGGAAAAAGGAATGAGCTGAGGTCTCCTCTGGGGTCATCTGACACATGGACAGGCCTAGGAGGAAGTACATACAAACTCTCACTTCCCTCTCTCTCTTCCTCTAAGCAGCTACTCCCTCCTGTGTCGTTCTGGTCCATGATTTAGGCCGTCAGGTATGTGCTGACTGTCGCAGTTAATCAGGTTAGCTAAGGAAAGGGAGGAGAGGCGCAGAATAATAACAGCCGTTCAATGAGAAAACCAGAAGCGCTGTGACAAGCTCAGCTAAATTGGCTCAGCATTTTTTACCTTTTCTCTTTCATCCCTGAAAACAGCAGTAAGTACAGTTGGCCCTTGAACAGCAGGGGGTTAGGGGCACTGACACCCCATGCAGGTGAAAACCCACATATAACTTTTGACTCCCCCAAAACGTAACTACTAATCGTCTATGGTTGACCAGAAGCTTTGAAATTAACATAAACGTCGATTAACTCTTATTTTGTGTTATGTATGACATACTGTATTCTTACAAAAAAGAAAGCTAGAGAAAAGAAAACGTTATTAAGAAAATCCTGAAGGAGAGAAAATATTTACAGTATTGCACATATTTATTGAAAAAAGTCTGCCTGTAAGTAGACTTGCACATGCAGTTCAAACCTGTGCTGTTCAGGGGCCACCGTAGATAAATTTTTACTGTGGAGAATTACTAGTAAGTAATTAGTAACTGGAAAATGTGCTGGCCAGTGAGAAGCCTTCTTTACAGAGAACTGACTTTAACCAGATTAGTCACCTCTGAAAAGCAGCTTAGTTGGAGAAAGACAGACCCTGTTGAACATCTCCCTAATCACTGGAATCCAATGTCACCTGTGACTAATCTAACCCCTGGAAGAGCTGAGTGACCTTTAGATCTAGTGCTTGGGGGTCTCGTGCCAGGAAATCCTTCCACCTCGGCCCTGTGTCTGCGCCATCGGACCCCAGGTTAGGGCCGTGCAGGGGGGGAGTTACTAAATTAAGGGTTATGAACCAGGAGACCAATAAAATACATATGCTTAAAGAGCCTGGAGAGCATCTCTATATACACAAGGCTAACATGCTAAGTGTCCGACCTGTCACTAAAATCAAAAACAGAAAAATTCCAGCCACTGGCCTGGGAAAGAGGGAACATCCACTCTGGGCCAAGAGTGAGATGAATCACCCGTAAAAATTGCAACTCCGGGCCCAAGCAAGTCAGAATCCACTTCTTTTATGGTGAAAGAAGTCCCCAGCCAAGAAATGAATGGGAAGACTAGTCCAGGGACAGCTGGAGGGTCCTGGCAGCAGCAAACATAAAGCCGCCCTGCAGGGCGGCCAGCGCCCCTGGAGCATGTGGTCCTCTGGTGAGGAGGAGCTAACGCACAGGTGCAGACCCGTGAGAAACAAACCACCATGAGGGAGGCCAGCAAACCCAACCAACCGCGGGGCCTGCAGTTCAAGAGGCAGAGATGACAGAAAGGTCCTTTAAAGCAAGGATATTCCAGAACAGGGTATTATTCGGGGGTAAAGCCAGAAGGCTGTGAAAAAATAATATGAAAAATCACCAAAATCCCAAAATGAAACCTCAGTGTACAGATTAGACAACTGAAGAACAAAGTGACAAACTGGTAGACATTTCTTCAGCAGTTTAGGGTAGAACTCTGTTTCTATGAGTTTGGCTTTTTTATTTTTATTTTTTTTACAAATGGAATTTTTTATTGATTGATTAGTAGTGGAGGGAGTAATGGAGGGAGGGAAAGAGGGAGGGAAGGAGAGGATGATGGGGAAGGAGGGAGAGGGGGAGAGGGAGGGAGGGAGGGAGGGAGAGAGAGAAACCTCTATTTCTTGTTCCACTTATTTATGCATTCATTGGTTGATTCTTGTATGTGCCCTGACTGGGTATTGAACCCGAAACCTTGGTGTAAGTGGGCTGAGGCTCTAACCAACTGAGCTACTGGGCCAGGGCTAGGATCTGTCCTCTTAATCAGACTCCATGCTGTCTGCCCCAGGCTGGGCCTCCGCTGCTTCTTCCTCCTCCTTGTTGGGGGAAGTCAGCCTGAGAAGGAGCTCCAGCCCATTCCAGGACAGAGGGGACAGTCTATCTATCACACCGACAGGCGGGGGCAGAGAACAGCTAGATTGGGACCAAGATGATGGGGAGGCCTGGGAACCAAGTGTGTTGGATGCTTAGTCTGGAAGGTCAGGAGGGTTGAACGCTCTTTGCAGATACATGAGAGGCTGTAATAGGGACAGGGCAGGTCAAGAGGCAAGAATGGGCCTTGTGTGTGGATGCTCTCGGTAGGTAGACTTCCAAGTCATAGGAAATATCTCTAGTACCTGAGCCTCCAGGCTGTATTGCAGCTCTTCCTGTCCCCACACATACTCTAGCTTTGCTTCTAGGGAGGTAGATTTTTATTTTATTTATTTACTTTTAAAATATATTTTTATTGATTTTCGTGAGATGGAGAGGGAGAGATAGAAACATCAATGATGAGAGAGAATCATTGATCACTGCCTCCTGGACACCCCCTACTGGGGATTGAGTCCACAACCCAGGAATGTGCCCTGACCTTGAATTGAACTGTGACCTCCCGGTTCATGGGTTAATGCTCAATCACTGAGACACACCAGCTGGGCAGATTTTTTTGTTTGTTTAATCCTCACCCTAGGATATGTTTACTGATTTTTTTAGAGAGAGAAAGAGGAGGAGAAGGAGGAGGAGGAGGAGAGATATCAATGTGAGAGAGAAACATCGATCAGTTGCTTCCAGTACATGCCCTGACCTGGAATCAAACCTGTAACCTTTTGGGATTGGGATTTGGGACAACGCTCCAACCAGCTGAGTCACTGGCCAGGGCAGGGAGGTAACTTTTGCTAGTGGCTCATAGTGAAAGCTTTGGAGTCACACAGATGTAGGTTTGAGGCCTGCCTTTGCCATTTACTATGTGACCTTGGGTAAGTGACGTAATCTCTCTGCGGACCACCAGTTGGTGACCGCTGCTCCGGACAATAGATATACAATTTGCCCCTTGGATTCTGAGGATACCATAAAGTAAAACCTGCAAAGAGCTTAACCTGGTGCCTGGCCCACGTGAAAGCTCAATCATTGAGAAAGGAGGGGGAAAGAGAGGAAGGAAAAAGAGAGATGAGGCAGAGGCAGCAGTAAGGACTTCCCTTTCATCTGCCAGGTGGGCCCTGCAGGGGGACAATGGATCCCTGTCCCCACATGGGTAGGGGCTTTGAGGCTGCTGGCTGGCAACTGGAGCCGTGGATGGAGTGGGTACGGACCGGGGGTGGCAGAAGTGGGGCAGCTTTGTTTCTGCCAGTTATTTAAAACCAGAATGCTAACAAGCTTTCAAAACAAAACAAAACACAACTCAAGTACTCTTTGGATGGGATATAATAAAATGGTTCTATCTGAAATAGAACCAAACAGCTTTGTTGTTGCACACAAAGGCCTAATTCTTTGTGCCTCTCTGGAGTGGAGGCCCAGAAGTACAAGGGTGAAAGGGTCAATG